GTAGTGTACTACGTCTACATATTTTTATAATACAAAATGTGTAATGAACAGACACTGACGATGATTTTGAAACGATAAGAGATTTGATATTAACAGACTTAATATTAGGTTAAAAATTCACACCTTTCTGGATATTGTATGTAAAATTTGTATTAGTATTATAGACATTCGTGTGTAGCACTGCTATAGGCTATTTCTTGTTATATTCAATACGTTTATTGCATGTATTTCTGACTTATTTCAGTTAAATTATTTATTAATTAAGCAAAAACAACACGCAGAATATCAAAATCTATGGTAGTACACTTTCAATCTGGGTCACTATTGAATAATAATTGCATAGGATATCTTACAGGCATTTGTACAAATTTTCTTACTTTGGATCCTTCAAATTTCATATAAACATAGCATTAAATTGTTTTGAAGAAATTACTACTTTCCTTTCGTATTTTTAAAACTAACATGGTTTTCTGGTACCTTATTTATTGGAGTCATTTTTTGATAACAAGATTAAATGAAATAATATATTGCTGATTTTATATATATGTCGACCTTTAACGTTAAATTTGACGCTCCTTTGATTTTGACTGGTACACATATAAATAATATTTAATTATTTGTCCTAAATTATGTGATCTCGCCACTTTAAATTTGTTATCTTTTTCTTTAAATAAAGGTACATATCATTTTTTCTGTTATTTATTAGAAACTTTTATCTTACGTTTTATGAACATCATGTATTTGGAAAGCCAATTGAATTTTATAATTACTTGCTAAAACTGTAAATATTAAATTTTTACTTTCGTATAACATTCAAGAATGCTTTAAAAAGGTGCTTCAAATTTTTATAGTTTATTCGTAATTTGTAAAATATATTGCTATAAAGCAGCTATTATGTGAGAAACCAATGTTCTGCATTAAATATTCCCTTTCCAGATCAAGTTACGTTTGATGATACTGGAATGCAATGTTCTATGTTAGATAACGTTACACACTTTGTACAGATAAATTCATATTTGAAGTTTATTTTTCTCTGTTTTTAACAAGAAGAATTATGAATTTCTATTTATACGACTGTGTAATCTCGCTGTTTAATTTGGAGCTTACTTTCAACAAAGTTTGTACAAAAATTTGTGATCTATCCTATGTATAATAATTCGGCATAATAGAAAGTAAGGATTTAAGTAATAATTTATTTTCATTTGCAACTTTTAGAAATCTTCATAAAAATGATAACAAACACATATGCAAAGTGTATATGTAACATCTTTTTAAATGACTTTATGACACGTTATTATAACACTATATGAAATCAAGTTTTTCTTTTTAATTGGATAATTACAAAGACTCTTTTGTCTGTTATGAACTTGTTTTAGCATAATGTTAACATAAACATTCATAAATTTTAAGTATTTTGGCATTTAATGAACTACTATCGCAGATTTGGTTTATACATATATAAAAATATATTTTTTCATAATTATAATGTA